CATTCATATGACTACTCATTGGCAGTCAGTGTCCGCGAGTGTCCACAACTGTCACCACTCGACAGACACAACCAATTCGAGCCATCATTTCCTATCAAATCATAGTACAAGACATAACATACTTCCTCCAGAGTGGACACCATTTGTCTGCAGTGAGCCATTCGCGAGACAAACGACGAGGTGGTGGGAGAGTTGATGTCATCCTTGGTTTCCGACACAAACTCGTTGACACCGATTAAGGCGGGCATCGCTTACCCCTCACTGTCACCAATGCTACCAATGAGACCACGATTATGACCACTGGTTGATGACTTGGTTTGGGTGATAAATCACTGACACATTGGAGTGTATAGTTCACTATTGAATGTGCGACACGAATGACACGAATGACACGAATGGCTGGTATTAGTGGTTCGGCGCTTCCCATTCACTCTCACAACAGACGCTCACATAAAGTGATTTGTTGTGACATTCACTCAATTCATTCAAATCAATGCAATCCTATGTAAACACTGTTACACACCGTATGACTGTCTCACTGACTGTCTCACAGACAACGCCTCCATTGGTTCTCCACTCACAACACATTGAGTCACTCACTCATTGGCAACACTACCGCACACTGAACACAGTGTCTAATATGCCGTCTATGCAGTGTCATATCAACACAATTAACACAATCACCACCTAATCACTGGTCCTATCACTCAAATACCATACAATAGTCTCAATAAAATCACACAATCTATTGATTTGCAAATTGCAAATGCATTCAACACTTGGAAACACAATTAAATATTGTTCACAAATAGCATAACAGTAAGAGTTGAAGAGTTTGTGCCCCTTATGGCACCAATTAATAGATATATTTATATAAATTTCCATCAATTCAATAGATTCCCGATATTCGCGCCGTACGCCCGGTTTGGGGGTCAACCACATCCTCATTAACAAGCCGTACGTCTCACTGCTGTCTAGTCTTAAACCAATCAAATATGTGATCATTGAATAGCCATTGAATTGCATATAAATTTAATGAAATACTTTATCCTTTAACACAATTTGTACGCAAAACGCGTTTATATATATATATATATATATAATATAATACAATATACAGTAATATAATAATAAGAATCTATAATTAGCTTAAATATGAATAAAAATGAATAATTAGTTCAATGGTAATGAGTTGGACGTGGAAATGGATCAAAGGATGCCATTCGTCAGGTATTGAAAGCCGTCGTATAGTTTAGTTGTGAGCGAATGCATAGAGGACTCGACCATAGAGTCGACCTGCAGTTGGAGCTGTTCTTCGGTGAGTCCCATATGGAAGCGTTCCCTCAACGCCTTCACAGTGGAGGCGCCGTTAGTAAAACAGGGCAGTTGTGAGTTGGCCTGTAGTATCTCGACCAGTGTCACGATCCGCTCGTTGTGCTTACGGGCCGCTATCAGCCCCTGTAGTATCAGAATCTTGAAGTATTCAAACATATCACTGCCCAGTCCTCCCATCACCTGTCGGTCGCATACAATAAAACACATGAATTAATATATGATATCATTTGTATTGTATAGTCATTTACGTCAACAAATTCTTGCGTCAATTTGAAGGGAGAGCTCTCGAAACCAAGATTTTTGGGAGAATTGGATAAAATGAAACCGAAATCGATATGAATTATATGGCCCTCAGAGTCGAGTAGTATATTCCCGTTGTGTCTGTGGACGCAAAATAACAATTCATAAACTAAACCAATTCTCATGACTCATGACATACCTGTCCTTCACTTGAACTAAATACGAGACAATACAATAGGCGGCACAGCTTTGAACGAAATTTCGTTGTGCTGTCAGAAACTCTTCGCTGGTCTGCGAACCGAACTCTTTGATGAAGTACTCAATTATAGACAGTTTGCAGTGTTTTTTGATTTGATGCAAAGACACCGTATTGAGTATGGCTTCGATGAGCCCGCTCTCCGCAGAGGTCACCAGTATTTTATAGGGTTTCAGCCAAAGGGGAACCCTTTCCTGTTCCCAGATTTTCTGCAGCGCCGCCAATAACTGGTAGGCCATCAGCTCCTGACGCAAGTCGTCGCCGCACTTGACGATAGCGGCCAACAGTTTCCAGTTGGAGAGGTGTCCGAAGGGCGACGACTCGCGAATTCGGGCCACCTTTTCATCCCAGGGCTCCTTCAGTGC